GTTGTATATTTTCAACTTTAAAAATACAAAAGGTTTATCAATCATTTCAACTGGTTATGTTTAAACATAATCATATAATTAACCGAAAAGAATTTTAATAGAGCTTTAAATAGTTTATTTTTGATTCTCTATTTTAGTTCGTAAATAATTTTTTAGTTAGTAAATAACTCACATCTCTATTTTGTTAAGAGATTACAATTATAAAGATAGTACATAATTTACAGCAAATTAATCATCTCAGTTTTACCAAGTTATTTCATTAGATGAAGTTTATTATCTTTATAAAAACTATCACCGTGATAACCAAATTTAAAAACTAACACCGTAATAACCATCTTATTTCATCTTTCTAACTTCTAGGAATGAGATTAATGAGATAATAATGAGTGCTAATGACAAAAAATGGATATTTCTTTCTTTTCTGATTTTTAAGATTAAAAACAAAATTAATATTGGTGTTAAAATTTTTCATAATAAATAATAAATTGAAAGCTGATGTGTCATAAGGAGAAGAGCTGATGTGTCAAACTTGTGAGACACAACTCACTCTTTATATAATAGATTTCAGTTTTTATTTTATTTTTGAGATTACTTGGTTTTTACCGCATTTCTTTTTTTATAAACTCATGTATGATCTCAAAAATAAATTAACAAACTTCTGCTTCTTTGAGCAAGATTCACTCAATGGTGTTTGGTTGTGTGTAGTATCCAACAATCACCCCTTGATCTGTATTGGTATGTCATATCCAAAGGATCAACTGGAATATCAAAGGTCTTTCTGCAACCTTTGTGTGACCATTCAATCCACTCCTTGTTCTATAAGGTCTATCATTTCTCTATCAACTTCTAGTATTTGATTCTTGGGAGGATCATATCAAGTTGATATTAGAACAACACTTGAAGTTCAGTGTTCGATTCTATTTCTGTTTCATCTTTCTCATATTTTCACTTTCTTTTTTTTTCAATCCTCTATCTTTTCATCTTCTTATAAAAAATCAAAAAAATTATTTAAAAAAAATGTTTGAGGAAAAGGCGTATTACATCCGTGATGGTAACTCATCTCAAGGAATCCAAAGGAAACCTAGACATGCAGGGAATGCAGAGATCAACATCATGAAATTTTGGAGGTTTTAAGTCCAGAATTCCATCATTCCATGGTAAAAATGATCCCTACAACTATTTGGATTGGGATAAGAAAGTATAACTCATTTTTAATTCCTAGCACTACTCGGAGATCAACAAGGTGCAGGTTGCGGCTACTGGATTTTGCGAGTATGCACTCAGCTGGTAGGATCAATCAGTGACCTCAAGGAGACGCTATGGGGAATATCCAGTGGAGCAGCTATGAAAGCAATTATGAGAAAGAGGCATGTTTCCAACCATCACCATCATGAGCCAGATCAGAAGCCAAGGAGTTCTTCTCGACCGACTTACGGAGTTGTCAGGTCGAGTTACCCTCAAGTGGAGAAGCAGATCGCAAAATCAAAGGTAGACTCCAAGCTGTTCACTACCACTCAAGCCACTAAAGGTAAGGTTGTGACTTCTACATCACCAACTTTTGTTGTGAGATGTCTTAAGTGTCTAGAGGAAGGGCACTATGCCAATAAATGCTTCAGCAAGAAAACATGAATTCTTCTAGCCAATGGAAAGATCGAGGTCAGAGAAGAAAAAGTGGTTTCTAATCCACTTCCATCTTTGGAGGAACATGTGGAGTTACCAGCTAAGGGCGATCTATAGGAAACAAGTTCAGTAAATGAGAAAGCTAAAGCCGAGGAGCAGGAACAAAAGGAGATCTACAAAGAATCAGTTAAAACTTGAATCATAGAATGAGGAAGTCATGAAGCAAAGTATAGGAGCACAAATGATTCAGCTGATGCACTCTCAGAGAGGTATTCTTTATTGACTACCGATTAATCACTCTAGATTTTAAACTTGTGGAACAAGTGGATTTTGTCTTTGGAGATTCAGCATTTTCCAAACCAGAAAACATAGTTCAGAGATTCCTGGCCGAGCTTATGAAACCATGTAAAGAGAAGCCAATGCTCCACCACAGACCAAGTAAAACAGAGCAGGGTTTGGATTTTGAAGGAACAAAAGGCAAGCTAGGAGACCTTCCTCAAAGCGGTGCAACTTTTGACTCAGAATCAACAATAGGGAGTCATCTATTCCATTCTAATCAAGGAGCCGCTAGACTCATTCCCACGTTTTCTAACCCACGATTGTGTTGTTCGAGGATGAAAAATTTTCAATAGGGATTGATATGATATTGAAAACACCGAAGAAGACATATGTGCCTTGTTCAGTAAAGATGGGAGATAAGCTCAACTGTTCCAGCCCAAATACCACTTGTATTACTTTTTCACCTCATCTAGAGCATTCCACGAAATGGAATCATTCAAATATGAGTTAGAAGTTATTCAGTTTTAAAATCAGGCAAACTCGAGCTTCTCATTGTGGACCTACGCGCGTTCAACCGAAGATTACAACCAAGCCAGAAGGTAATAAGCTATGATCCGACATGTTCTGGAATTGTAATCCATCAAAGAACCAGGTAGAATTAGATTCACATCAAAAACCGGTTCAGACTTGGAAGATATGGTTTTAAAAAATAGGTGGATCTGTTCCAAGTCTAGTTACGCGTCAAAGCAAAAGATCGTGTTACACAGCCTAACTCAGAAACGATATCAACACGAGACCACTTGGAGAATGTTAAGGGATATCTTATGGTTCCAACAAGCCCAAGATCAGAAGCAATGGACATCGGATCCCAAAGATACTTCTCATTTGCCAAAATGGGTCCAGCTGGTTCTAAACATGAAGAGTTCTAGGCTCAATTGGATTGGAAGCTTGCAAACTTATGTTTGGCATCCAGGAGGCATTTCTACTAAGCCCAAGGTGAATAAAAGACTCAGCCCATCTCGTTTTTGATTATCAGAATTCGTCCAAGAAGTCAAGGAGACAATGAAGCTCTAGGGTCATTCAAACATAAGATTGATTCGGGTCTTAAGTAGACAATGAAGCGCGGCCTCTTTTGAAATTATTTATCCATTATTTTAATTTGAGTTTTTTATAATTTGTTTTTTTTTGGAAATTACTTATAATAAACATGAGTTTATTATATAAGCCAAAATTAGCAACTTATGCACTAAATATTTTTTATGGTTAACTGTGGGTTACAAAAGATATATGACATCTATACCTTATTTTGTATTTTAT